TTGCAACCTCTGAAGGCTCAAGGAGAAGGAAATGCAAACATAAAAACATTTTGCAAAAACAACACCACCACCCAAAAGCAAAACGCAAAACATTTTCTTAAAAACACAACAAAGCAAAATGCAAAATGCAAACAGACAAAGACTTTTTTCTCCAACTCTTTCCCTCCCAAGACCATCCCACTCCCAAGAATCCTTTTTTGTTTAAAAAATCCTTGCAGATTTGGAAAGTTGGGGGGGGGGGAATTTAAACAACAAAAAAGGTGGGCAAGGAAGAAAACTGCCTAATGTGCAAATGAGAGAGAGAAAAAAGGCACCTGGAGAAATGCAAAGGAAAGAAAAGCAAAAAGGAGGAGAGAGAGAAAAAAAGAGTTTTGGAAGGAAAGAGTTTTGGAGAAAGGAGTTGGAAGGCTTCTTTCAAAGGGGAAAAAAGGGTCCTGGGTTTGCACCCTTTTTTTGCAATGGGTGGGTGGGTGGATAAGGGGGTGCTGGGGGTCTTGGGGGTGTTGCATGCCCCCCCCCAAAAAAATAAGTGGTCCTCACCTTGGATGCCAAAGGTGGCCAGCAAAAGGCAGCCCAGGGCGAGCAAGAGGCGGGGAAAGCGCATTGTTCTTGGTGCGTCTCTCAGCTCCAAATCCCACTAAAGGCTGGAGGAGGAGGCGAAAGGGAGGGAGAAACCCCCCCAAAAAGGGTGACGTCAGAGGGAGGGGAGGGCATTGCAAGGAGGGGGCTGGAGAGGGAGGGCTGAGCCCCCTAGGAAAGCCCCAGCCCCCCTCCAAGGATTGCAAAGCCAGACCCCAAGGAAGGAGGAGGAGGCATTGCTCCAGGATGCAGGCATGGCTTGCAAAAGAAGAGGGCTGTGCATCCAAAGGGAGACACACTTTTGACTGGTTTGGGGGCACCCCATAAAGACCCCCACCATTGCAAAGAAGGGACCCTAGGCTAGACTGCTTGGTCTCCAAGGGACTGCAAAGCAAAAGGAGAAAGCAAGCAAGAAAGACCCACATCTCTTTCTCTCTCTTTTGCATGGGTGTTGTGCGTAATTGTTGCAGCCATTTGGGCAAAGCTTTGGTCAAGATAAAAGTCCATCAGTGAGACCTTGATCGGCCAAACAAAATGGACCATAGACTTGCTGCAATATTTTGTGCAAAATGTTGTGCTTTTTGCTTGGCCGATCAAGGTCTCACTGATGGGTTTTTGTTTGAATTTATTGAAATGGCCAAGACTGCTACCCCTTGAATGTCTTGGGTCAAGAGTTTTAGAGAGTTGCCTTTTCTTGTTTCTCTTCTTTAAAAATATTATTTATTCATTCATTCATTCATTCCTTTTTTTTTTTACAATTGTTACATTTTGGTGGCAAACCTAAGTTGAACCTATCCTTGGGTTTTCTCTTGGCAAGGTTTGTTCAGAGGAGGTTTGCCGTGGCTTTCCTCTGAGGCTGAGAGTATGTGACTCGCCCAAGGTCACCCAATTGGTTTCTATGGCTGAGCAGGGATTTGAACCCTGGTCTCCAGAGTCCCACTCAAACCATTATGCCACACTGGCCCACTTTTTTTAAAAAACCATACAATATCGCAATACAAATACAGCAAGTCATATTTTGAGATAGCTTCCTTTTATCCAAACCTTTATCTCCAAATCATACGCTTTGTACAAACCACTGCACTGTCAATCCTCTTACTTAAAAATAAATTACCTCTATTAAATTATCTATTTGCATTGATGTTAATTATACTTCCCACTAGAGATTTGCCTTCTCTTTAATTCAGATTTGCTTAGTTCCCCCTTCCACTCCACTTTATCTGAAATGCTTTATGCAGAATAATAAACATGGCTAGGAGTTGTTTGAACATTGGACTATGATTTTTGAGACCAGGGTTTGATTCCCAGCTCAGCCACGAAGCCCACCTTGGGCAAGTCACACTCTCTCAGCCTCAAGGGAAGGCAATGGCAAACAACCTCTGAACAAATCTTACCAAGAAAACCCCATGATAGGTTCTCCTTCTTGTTGTTGTTGTGTGCCTTCAAGTTGTTTCCAACTTATGGTGATTCTATCATGGAGTTTTTCTGGCAAGTTTCTTGGTTTTCATGGCCAAGCAGGGATTCGAACCCTGCTCTCCAGAGTCGTAGTCCAATGCTCAAACCACTATGCCAATGGCTCTCACAGGGTCTCCTTAGGTCACCATAAGTCAGAAGCATTGTGGAGGCACATACAACATACGTGCAGGAAAGTTCTGGTGCCACAACAAACTACAAATCCCAGGACTCCATAGGATGGAGCCATGACCAAGGTGACCAGATGACCTGCTTTTCTAGGACATGTCCTACTTTTCATCGTTCTGTCCAGGAGGAAGTCCAAAATGTCCTCCATTTGGAGCACAGCTCTGAAACATGAATTCATATTAGAGTTTTTAAAGCTTTTATTTGATCATGTCCTACATTTTTTTTCCCTTGAATGCCTCACATTCTACAGCGCCTTGTCCTCCTTTGCAGTTAGGACATCTGGTCACTCTGGCCATGACAGTGTCAAAACTGCATTAATTCTGCAGTGTAGATGCAACCATAGGCTCAAATCCCTCTGCCATGCCTGCTGTTTTACTGTATTGTTATTGACTTCTGTTCCTGCTGGGCTTTGTGGTTTTTTGCCCATTGCTTCTCCAACTCTCTCTTCATGTCTCTGGTTTATATTGCAGAGAAGTTGCAGCTTCCCCTGTTTGCAAATGTGTAAAATAAATCCACCTCCATTTTTCTGGCTTGACCTCTCACACTGCAAACTGCTCCGGGGCATCCCAGATCATGCAAAGAGAGACCAAGGTGGGGTTATTCCGGCTGACCTTTTACTGTCCAGCTTTTACTGTCCAGCCGGCTTGGAAGATATTGAATCCCACTCTTTACCCCTTTGTTTGTTGTTGTTGCTGTTGTTGTTTATTACTTTATTGTTTTACTTCCCACTTTACTTTTCTCCAGCCCTGAGACTCAAGGTGACCAGATGGATCCAAAAAGCACACATTGTGCAAAAGTTGAAATATACTTAAACCACCAGGAACATTCAAAGCAATTAAAGGTGTGCCTATTAAAAAAGACAAATGCAGGCAATAGGATCACTGTTTATTCATTTGTATCCCATCTTTTCCCCCAAAAGTAGGATGCAAAGCAGTTTACAAAAATATAAATACAAACAAAAACCTTAAATATCCTAAAGGCCAGTGTGAGTCAGTGTGGCATAGAAGTTTGACTGTTGGACTGTGACTCTGGAGACCAGGGTTTGAATCCTAGCTCAGCCATGTAAACCCACTGGGTGAGCTTGGGCAAGTCACACTCTCTCAGCCTCAGAGGATGGCAATGGCAAAGGCAAACCCCCTCTGAAGAAACGTGCCAAGAAAACACTGTGATAGGGTGGCCATAGTCAGAAATGACTTGAAGGCACCAACAACAAACCTCAATGCACCAGATCCCATCTAATCTTGGAAGCAAAGCAGGTTCAGCCCTGGTTAGTACTTGGATGGGAGACTGCCAACAAAGCCCAGGTGCTGTAGGCTCTATTTCCAAGGAAGGAGCTGGCAAAACCACCTCGCCTTAGAAACCCCTATGAAATTCATGGGGTTGCCATAAGTCGACAGATTTGTTCAGAGGAGGTTTGCCACTGCCTTTCTCTAAGGCTGAGAGAGTGTGACTTGCCCAAGTGGGTTTCCATGGCCAAGTTGGGAACAGAACACTGTTCTCCTCCAGAGTCGTCGTTCAACACTCAAACCACTATGCCACACTGAGTCTTATGTTTGTATTTATTCCCATTGATGTGCCTTTTATGGCGGCGGAAAAGTTTTATCTAATAAGCCATGATTTTGGCCCAAGAGTCAAATTGGCTGTAGATGAGCACATGGGGAGCCATGCACTGGACCTGGACGTAGGTAGAGCCATGATCCTAAGAAATTTGGATCTATAATCCTTACAAACTGCCATGTAAGGTTGGTCATATCCCTACCCTTGGTCCTCACTTTTGATCTGCAAAAATGGGATAAGCCCCCTATGAAGAGAGCCAACATGGCATAGCGATTTGAGTGTTGCACTACAATTCTGGAGACTAGGGTTCGACTCCCAACTCAACCGTGAAACCCACTGGGTGACCTTGGGCAAGTCACACTCTCTCAACCTCAGGGGAAGGTAATGGCAAACCTCTGAACAAATCTTGTCAAGAAAAACCCCATGATAGGGTTGCCATAAGTCGGAAACGACTTGAAGGCACCCAACGACAACAACAACCCTAAATAAGCCCTTCTCAGACATTTTATGAGTATGCAGAGGGGAGAGGGAGAGGGATTATACATGTGTTCAAAATAAAGTCTGGAGTCTTTATTTTATCTAAAGACTTTATCTGAAGTCCTTGTGCGGAAGAGGTCAGTTTTGTGCAACTGACAACATGCTTTTTCTGTACCTTCTCAACCACAGCTTTCTTCCAGAGGTCCCAAAAAACACCCAGAGAATATTATTCATATTTCTAGGGAAGCAGCTGTTGCAGCAAACACAACAAAATCCTTTTAAAAAGTTAATTAAATTTTATTTGGCACTAACTTTTAATGCACCCCAGCACACGTCAGGTGGCATTTGAAGAAGGAAGCTGCGGTATGTGAAAAGGTATGTCAAGAAAAATGTGTCTTTAAGGTGCTCTGAGATTCTTTGGAGGGAACAGCATGGAAGTGGGATTTTTTTCCTGATTTTTCCATAGACATATGGAGGCATGGCATGGCAGGAACAAATCTGTTCCTCTTGCATTGGCACAACATTTGTTCCAGTAGCTCATGATGGATTCGAACTGAGAACCAGCTTACCTGGTTTTCAGCTCAAGGTTTTTAGCCTTGATGCAACTACATCTTTCTTGAACGTGTTCAGAGAACTCCAGGGCTTCTCTCACATGGCAAAATTGTAAGACTTTATATAGTTGATCCTTTGTATCCACGTTTGTTGTTTTTTTTTATCCACCAATTCAACCATCCACAGCTTGAAATATTATTTTAAAAAAATATACATTCCAATCAGCAAACCTTCATTTTGCCATTTTATATAAGGAATATATATAAGCATGGCATAGTGTTTTGAGTGTTGGACTGCAACTCTGGAGATCAGGATTTGATGCCCCGCTCTGCCGTGAAAACCACTGGGTGACCTTGGGCAAGTCACACTCTCTCAGCCTTGGAGGAAAGCAATGGCAAACCTCCTCCGAACAAACCTGGCCAAGACAACCCCACAATAGGTTCACCTTATGGTCTCCGTACGTTGGAAATGACTTGAAGGTGTGCAACACGCACACACACAAGACACAATAGCTTCACAGGCTAAGGGTCCAATGCTGCAAGGGAAAAAAAGGGGGCTGTTTGGTCCCTTTCCTCCTCATTCCCTTCTTGAATCTCTCACTGTCTCTGATATCATTATTTTGTGTATCCTTAGAGCAAATGAGCAAAAACAGCAGGTTAGTTTGAAGGTGCACAGATGGGAATGGGTTCTTATATAGATCCCAGTAGATCACATGTGTTTATTTGTTGCATTTCTGTGCTGCCACTTTCCAAGTGTGCAGAAAGGGGGTCCCATTTTTGGAAAGGCTCCAGGGTCCCCCATCCTCTGTCTTCTAACCTTGTCTATTCTCCTCTCTGAGATCCTGATGAAACACACTTATGAGACACCATCACATTTATTCTTCAGCATCATAAAAAAGAAAAAGCTTTTGTAACTCCAGAGGAAACGCTGGCCTGGACTCTGGAACATTCAATTTGTTTCACTTAGCTCCCTTCTTGCTCTCTAATGCCCACTTAGCAGAGCGATGGCCTGAGTATTATATATGCACATGGAATATTTTCCTTGCAAATAGAATCCGCAGAGGGAGATAATGTTATTTTCCTTCTCCTGTTCTCTTTCTGTGATTCAAGCTCCCGGTTGTTGTTGTTGCTGTTGTTCCTTGAAGAGGACCTTCCATGCACTATATAACACCAAGCAAGAAAAACACTTTATCCGGTAAATATCACTAGACAGTTATCTCACACCAGCCTGTTTACCCAGTCTGTTAATCGGAGATAAACACCCATTTAACTGGCTTTAACCTCCAATGTATTGACACACAATGGGTACAGGGGGGAAAGCAGGCAGGAACGAACATGTTCGGAGAGCCGACAAGACATTATCCAATTGTGTCAACATCCACGGCTGGTGGCTTAGGAGAGGAACCCATCCTGGTTTTTAATCACAAATTTAAAGAAACTGCTCCCCAAATAAGTTCAGCACCTTGGCTGAAACCCAGCAACTTTAAAGTTCAGAATAAATCTTAGAGCAGATCATCACCCAAATAATCTAACCACAGCCTCTCCAACAAAGTTAATTAATTTTGCGTGGCGCATGGGAAAAGCTATGACCAGACCTGGATTTCATTTCTCCCTTTTTACTAAAAAAAAAAATTAAAAATAAAATTGAAAACCAAATCCCATCTGGGAAAATTTCTACACCAAATATCCAATTCATATACTAGCTGGATACAAAACATGAATTGCACAGAAATCTGAATGCATTTTATGGGTTGCTAGTCAGGGTAGAGCCAGTGCGGTGTAGTGGTTTGAGCGTTGGACTAGGACTCTGGAGACAAGGGTTCAAGCCCCAACTCAGCCATGAAACCTACTGAGTGACCTTGGGTGGGTCACACACTCTCAGCCTCAGGGGAAGGCAATGGCAAATCTCTGAACAAATCTTGCCAAGAAAACCCCAAGATAGGTTCACCTTAGGGTCGCCATAAGCTGGAAATGACTTGAAGACACACACCACCACCATCACTCAAATTTACTCAGTCAGGAGGCAAGGAAAGGGTGGGATCCAAAACTTCCCAGCAAGCCCAGGCAAAAGCAAACTGCTGCAGCTTCTCCTAGTTTTGTGTGTTCTTTTCCCTGGATTTCTTTTTGCATTTGGACCAAACTCCGATGTTTCCTGGCCACTCGAGTCCCAGTTTGCATCTGTGAAATGGATGTAAGGTGATCCCACCCACGCTGGGCATGGAAGGAGCTGGTTTTGCAAGGCTTGGCTGGAGAGGCGGCCCCTGAGATGCTCAACCCTGGACAGTGGAAGCCTTGTCTGAGTCTCCCAGCTCCCACCAGAAACGCCAGCCGTTGCTCCGCTCTTCCAAACCT